AGTATACATTTTTATTAATGTGATAATGATTTTCATTTACCGTTTTCTTATTATGACTGCCTCTTTATCTTTTTTACTTTTCGTCTTGTTTTTTGTTTCAATATAATTTTACGATTTGATAGTCATGTATTGCGTCACTTCTATATCCATTTATTATTTCAGTATTTGTGTTTGTTTGTTTGTTTATGTTTCGCGTTTGATTAGATAGTGTTTAAATCATGATCCTAATTAGTTTTAAATTACTTATAGGCTTCCATCATCTGTACATCAATTCCTATATGTATCAGCTATTGTACTCAACTTGTTTATATTATTCATCTTATTTATATGCATGTATCCCACGTTTAAATTTCGACAATTTACTCATTCATGCAAATTATAATTCGCACGAATATCACCTATTCTGAATTGTGGCCCAGTGAGTGACGTTGATATACACTTTAAATTCCTTTCACTTTAATTCATACAGATTTTGATTCATATATTCACTTTACACTTAATTCATACAGATTTTCATTAATATATTGACTTTACACTTAATTCATACTGATTCTTATTAATATATTCACATTATATTGATTGTAGGTCCCAGTGAGTGACAATAAGGCCACACCAACCCTCCTGCAGACGAAAGACTCAGCGTGGCACCAGCCGGCATCTCTTCAGGTACGTGTGGCACTCTCGATTGGGACTGTCACTCCCGGCGGCACTGCTGGGGGGGAAGGGGTAGGGGTCAGTGGGTTGATGGAATGATTGATAGGTGCTTGTTTACGTTTTCTTGTCTTGTATGTTATTGTATACAGTGTATAATAAAAACTCCTATACTCTCAGGATCTCTACAATATCTTGGCTGGGCTCGAGGAAGGGAAAACTTACCGCTTCGTCTGTGGTGACACTGCCCAAGGTGAGGGTGTGGTGATGATGGTGTGGATGGTGGTGATTGGTGTTGTGGAAAAAAATATTCACGTGTTTGATATTATTGACCTTTTTTTACAATCAGATTTTGGAGTTCTGGCTTAGATTTTCAAATTGGTGATACACGTTGCGACTATTGGCGGGCAGTTCCTTTTAGTTGTAGTATTCTCCGTGCGAACTATAGGTCCTAATATTTCCCTCTACACCTTATAGACCCTGACATACCCTAATACATTTCCATATGCCTTGATATACTCTTATATACCTTGATATACCCTAATGCATCCTCATATGCCCTAATATGCCCTGATACACACCCTGATACCTCCTGCAGCCGTGTACTACAGCGGTTCCTACGACGCCTACATCTACACTCGCCACATCCCCGAACTCTCCCGCGTGGCACAAGGCTGAGAATGGCGTGGTGTTCGGTGCCAACGTGTCAATCTCCCGTGTCATGCAGGAACTTGACACGGTGTCAACTGGGCGGGCTGGCTACACCTACGCGAAGGAGCTGGTCAGGAACTGGCACCACGTGGCGAGCACCTCCGTTAGGAATGTGAGTTCGTGTGGAACGCCTTTCTCGTCTAGGTGTGCGTGTGCGTGAGGTGGGGGGGGGGGGGGGTAGGAGTGGAGTGTGCGTGAGGGGGGGGGGGGAGATAGGGGTGGCGTGTGCGAGAGGGGGTGGGGGCGATAGGGGTGGCGTGGTGCGTGAGGGGGGGGGGGAGTTAGGGGTGGCGTGTGCGTGAGGGAGGGGATGGTGAGTGGGAGTGTGTTTGTGCGTGAGTGAGTGTGGGGGGAAGGGGTGTGTGTGTATGTGTGTGTGTGTGTGTGTGTGTGTGTATGTGTATGCGCCTGTGTGTGTGTATATGTGCGTGTGTGTGTGTGTGTAAATGTATGTGTTTTAGAGGATGTGGGAGTGAGTATGACTGAATGAGAAGGCAAATGAGCAAGTGCATTTGCGTGCATAAGTGTGAGCTCAGTAGATTAGTGTGATTGACTCATTGAGTAAGTGTGTTTAGATGAGTGTGTGAGTGATGAGTTTAATGAGTAAGTGAGTGCGGGTTATTAAATGTGTCTGAGAGAGTATTTAATAGGTGAGTGAGTAAGTGTGAGTGACTGAATTAGAGAGTGCGTTTAAGAATACGATTTAAGTGACTTATTGAGTGTGTATGAGTGGTTGAGTAAAAACAAAAGAAAAAAAAATCTAAAATTAATAATAAAATCAAAGGAAAACACCTATTTCTTCTTATTATTATTATTTAGGTTATTAGGTTATTTAATAGGGAAGGGATTAAATTTCTTATTTTATTATTTTTGTGAGTGATATATGAGTAAAAACCTCCAAAAAAAAGCAATTAAAACTAAAAAAAAAAGTGACAATAAGAGAATAAAGAATAAATATATAAAAAGTAATAAAAAGAAAAGGAAACGCATCTGATTATTTCGTTCATTCTTAATTTTCCTCATATCCCATTTTATTATTTTCTGTTTCCTTTCCCCCCATTTCCTATTTCCTTATTTATTTTCTCTACTTTCCCCTCATTTCCTATTTCCTTTCCCCCCCATTTTCCTATTTCTTTATTCATTTTCCCTCCTCGCCATTTCCTATTTTTTTTATTTTCCCTCCTTCCCCCATTTCCTTTTTTTTTTCCTCCTTCCCCCCCATTCCCTATTTCCTTATTTATTTTCTCTACTCCCCCCCCATTTCCTATTTCCTTATTTATTTTCCCTCCTCCCCCCATTTCCTTTTTTTTCTCTCTCTCTCTCCTTCCCCCCATTTCCTATTTCCTTATTTATTTTCCCTCCTTCCCCATTTCCTTTTTTTTATTTCCCCCCCATTTCCTATTTCCTTATTTATTTTCTCTCCTTCCCCCCATTTCTTTTTTTTTTCCTTCCTTCCCCCCATTTCCTATTTCCTTATTTATTTTCCCTCCTTCCCCATTTCCTTTTTTTCTCTCTCTCTCTCCTTCCCCCCATTTCCTATTTCCTTATTTATTTTCCCTCCTTCCCCATTTCCTTTTTTTCTCTCTCTCTCTCCTTCCCCCCATTTCCTATTTCCTTATTTATTTTCCCTCCTTCCCCATTTCCTTTTTTTCTCTCTCTCTCTCCTTCCCCCCATTTCCTATTTCCTTATTTATTTTCCCTCCTTCCCCCCATTTCCTATTTCCTTATTTATTTTCCCTCCTCCCCCATTTCTTTTTTTTCCTTCCTTCCCCCCATTTCCTATTTCCTTATTTATTTTCTCTCCTTCCCCCCATTTCCTATTTCCTTGTTTATTTTCTCTACTCTCCCCCCATTTCCTATTTCCTTATTTATTTTCTCTACCCCCCTCCCCCATTTCCTATCTCCTTATTTATTTTCTCTACCCCCCTCCCCCATTTCCTATCTCCTTATTTATTTTCTCTACCCCCCCTCCCCCATTTCCTATCTCCTTATTTATTTTCTCTACCCCCCTCCCCCATTTCCTATCTCCTTATTTATTTTCTCTACCCCCCCTCCCCCATTTCCTATCTCCTTATTTATTTTCTCTACCCCCTCCCCCATTTCCTATTTCCTTATTTATTTTCCCTTTTCCCCCATTTCCTATTTTTTTTATTTCCCCCCATTTCCTATTTCCTTATTTATTTTCTCTACCCCCCTCCCCCATTTCCTATCTCCTTATTTATTTTCTCTACTCTCCCCCCATTTCCTATCTCCTTATTTATTTCTCTACCCCTCTCCCCCCATTTCCTATCTCCTTATTTATTTTCTCTACCCCCCTCCCCCATTTCCTATCTCCTTATTTATTTTCTCTACCCCCTCCCCCATTTCCTATCTCCTTATTTATTTTCTCTACCCCCTCCCCCATTTCCTATCTCCTTATTTATTTTCCCTTTTCCCCCATTTCCTATTTTTTTTATTCCCCCCATTTCCTATTTCCTTATTTATTTTCTCTACCCCTCTCCCCCATTTCCTATCTCCTTATTTATTTTCTCTACTCTCCCCCCATTTCCTATCTCCTTATTTATTTTCTCTACCCCCTCCCCCATTTCCTATCTCCTTATTTATTTTCTCTACCCCCCTCCCCCATTTCCTATCTCCTTATTTATTTTCCCTCCTTCCTTTCCCGTCCTCAGTTGGGCAGCTGGGCAGGCAACCTCGGCTTGAAATTAAGTCATAATGAATTTCCGTCTGACATTTTCATCAACCTCCTGGGCGCCGGTGCTGTTGTAACGACAGGTAATTCGTTTGTTTTCTTGTCTTTGTTTTGTTTATGTTTTGTTAGGATAGGTAATTCGTTTCTTTTCTTGTCTTTGTTTTGTTTGTTTTGTTAGGATAGGTAATTCGTTTCTTTTCTTGTCTTTGTTTTGTTTATGTTTTGTAACGACAGGTAATTCGTTTGTTTTCTTGTCTTTGTTTTGTTTATGTTTTGTTAGGATAGGTAATTCGTTTGTTTTCTTGTTTATGTTTTGTAACGACAGGTAATGCGTTTGTTTTCTTGTCTTTGTTTATGTTTATGTTTTGTAACGACAGGTAATTCGTTTGTTTTCTTGTCTTTGTTTTGTTTGTTTTGTAACGACAGGTAATTCGTTTGTTTTCTTGTCTTTGTTTTGTTTATGTTTTGTAACTACAGGTAATTCGTTTGTTTATTTCTTTTATGTTCTGCTTCCTTGTTTTTTTATTGTTTATGTTCTGTTTATTTATTTGTATTTATCCTTATTCATTTGTTTATTTTTATTGATTGTTTTTGTTTATAGGAAACTACAGGTTTCTTCTGTTTACTTGTTTACTTTTTATATTTCATGTTCTTTTTAATTGTTTTTTTCTTGTTTTTTTTATTTTTTAACTAGTTATTTCACTAGTTTTTATTGTTTGTTTTGTTTATTTGTTCATTTTTACTGTTTGGTTTGCTTGTTTGTTTATCTGTGTTTGCCTGTTTAATTTGTTTTTAATTGTTTATGTTCTGTAAATTTGTTTATTTTCTTGTTTTGTTTGGTTTAATCTTTACAAGTTATTTGTTTATTTATTTATGTGTTTGTTTTTACTATTTTCGTCCTATTTACGTGCAACTACAAGTATTTTTCTTTCTTTCTTTCTTTCTTTTCTTTTTCTTTATTCGGAAAGACAGAAAGACAAGTGAAAAAGATAAATACGAAGAAAAAAAGAGACAGAAAACTACAAAATGAATGAATAAAAAAGTGAAAAATGATTAATCAAAACGAATAATTATTTTCACTTTGTATCGCTCAGCTCTACCTACCGGGTCGACCTCGACTCACACCCTCGAGGAACTGCTCGGCCTCGACCTTCAGAAGGAGCGTCGAGTGATCCTTGAGATGCGTCTTCCTCCCATGTCTGACGAGGTCGTCTTCAGGGTATTCAAGGTTAGTGTGTGTGCGTGTGTGTGTGTGCGTGTGTGTATGTGCGTGTGTGTGTGTGTGTGTTTGTTTGTTTGTGTGTGTGTGTGTGTGTGTGTGTGTGTGTGTGTGTGTGTGTGTGTGTGTGTGTGTGTGTGTGTGTGTGTGTTTCTGTATCTGTGTCTGTGTGAATGCGTGTGTGTGTGTCTATATACGCATCCATATACCCTCACACATATCTACACATATCTGTTTACACAGACGTACATATATACATTCATACACATATACATACATACACATATACATATATACACAAACATAAACCAACATCGCTCATTCAAACACTGTATTTCATCACCCCTCCCCCCTATTCTCCTCGCTCACCCCCCCCCACCCCATTCTCCTCTCTCACTCACTCCCCTCCTCCTCCTCCCCCTTACAGGTAATGGGAAGATGGACCAACACACACGCCTTCGTCAACGCGGCGATGGCCTTCAGAGTGGACAAAGCCAACGCCCACACTGTGACCGAAAAGCCGCTGATCGCCTACGGTGGAATCAACCCAACGTTTGTGAGTGACTGGCTGGATAGATAGGGGATAGGTGGAGGCACGTTGGTTGATATGGTGGATGGATAGATGTGGTGGTAGAAAAGGTGGTGGGGTAGACTGGTGGATAGATGGGGGGGGGGGTAGGTGAATAGATAGGTGTGAGTGTGATTTTGCTGAATTTGATTGATAGCTGATGTGGTAGACTGGTAGATAGATGTAACTGTTGAATTTGATTGATATGAGTAAATTGGTTGATAAGATATGCAGATGGGTAAGTAGGCCGATAGATTAATTGAGGAAAAATAGATAGATAGGAAGGATTTGTATGTAGATAGATAAAAAAGATGATAGATAGGTAGATGGACCGTTAGCTGGATATATAGGTAGATAGATAGTCTTATATATAGTTGGAAAATATGTAGATAGATAGACAGTTGAAAAGAAAGAGAAATGGTTTTACAAAGAGAACCATTATTTTCTTATATAAAAAAATAGTTATTTGAAATCACGCTTCCAAAATATTTAATTACCTTTATTGAGCTAAACAGACTAAGTGATTAATTGTATGTATGTGTGTGAATATAAATAATTTATTAAGATATACTAAATTGATTTCTTAGATATTTTTGAAGTAATACATTTCAAAACAAGATGTCTATACTTATTGTTGAGTTAGTAAATCTGTGATATTTCAACTATACAAAAAAATCCAGCTCATTCACTAAATTTGTTTTACAGCCCTAAAATGAAATAGAAATCTCATAGATCTAAATATCATTATGAGTAGAACAGCATTTTAATAATTAATGTTGATGATACAGTCCTCCGCTGTTGATTTTGTCTAATAATATCAATAATAAAATGTATTTGTTGTAGCTAATAGAAATAATAGCGATGATGATTTTTCTAATTATAATAATGACAGTAATAATGATAAGGATAAGAATAATGACCGTAATAATGATAATTATAATGACAGTCATAATGATAATGGCAATGACAGTACTAATGATAATGATAACGAAAGTAGTAATGTTAATGATAACGACAATGATAATGAGAATGACAATGACATTACTACTGATAATGATAACGACAGCAACAATGATAAACAATATATAAAAGTACAAAGAGAGTAACGCCTTCTACAGCATCACTCTACAGAAATCTCTCCTGTAGGTGCGGGCCTCGGCTACGGAGGCGGCGCTGGAGGGCAAGAGCCTGGAAGATGAGGGAGTCCTACAGGCGGCCATGCAGGCTCTGGCCGACGAGCTCAAGCCTGATAACCTGCCTCAGGATCCCGCGCCAGAGTACAGGCTCTCTGTTGCCCAGAATCTGCTTTATAAAGTAAGGAAGGAAGAATATTAATAAATAAAGGGTATAGGGCAGGCTGTTGGTTGGTTCAGTTGATATGTTTGCAAATGGAATTGATTTCTTAGGCGGTTTCCCACGTTGAATAGTCGATTTTCTTCCATTCATAACGTTCTTTAAAGGGCAAGGGGTAGGGTGCTGGTTAGTTCAGTTGATATGTTTGTAAATGGAATTGATTTCTTAGTCGAATTCCCACGTTGAATAGTCGATTTTCTTACCTTCAAAACGCTTTTTTTAAGTTGTCTTTATCATAGTCCCTCGTCCGTCTTCCAGGGATAACTAAATTAAATCCAAACTTCCCCCCTCACCACGTTATCTCTCTCTTTATCGTCTATTCCTCCTCTTCCCCTCGCGACACGCAGATGGTGCTGGGTATCGTAGGAAATGCCGCCTCTAGCACAGTGATCAGCGGAGGCACTGACCTGGAACGACCTGAATCGAGCGGGCAGCAAGAGTACGACCAGAATACCGAAACTTGGCCACTGGGTCAGCCGATTCCCAAGCTGGAGGCCCGCATGCAGTGTGCCGGTGAGTGCACGGTCTCATTAGCATTATTATTGTTGTTGTTATTATTATTTTTATTATTATTAATGTTTTAGTTATTATGATCATTATCATTATTGTTGTTGTTGTTTTGGCTTTGTTGTTATTACTATTATTATTATTATTATTATTATTATAGTTATGTATTTTTTATTTTTTTTTATAAAATAGGATCGTTATTGTTATGGATTGTTTTTGTTAGTGTTTTTTCTTGTTTTTTTCTTGATTTATATATACGATTAATACATTGTGTGTTTCTGCGTCTGGATAATGTTGAACAAAAATAAACCTGATTTCCAAACAGAGGCAAAGGATAAGTGAACACATTTGCAAATCACAGTAATTATGTTCAGTTATAACATTAATATCAATAATAATCCTAAGTATGCAGCTGATAATAATAACAATAACCAAGACAATCGACATTAAACCAAAAATAAGCCCCTTACCCCCCAACCCAGGCGAGGCCGAATACGTGAACACAATGGCGGCCGTGAACGAGGAACTTTTCGGAATGTTTGTCACGTCGACGCAGGCCAACGCTCGCATCGCCAGCATAGACCCGTCGGCTGCCCTTGTGAGTGGAAAAGAGCTGGGTTTTCTTCTTGTTCTTATTCTTATTCTTATTCCTTTTCTTATTATTATTTATTATTATTCTCCCTTTTCTTCTCCTGGTTCTTCTTCTTCTTCTTCCTTTTTTTCTTCTCCTTCCTTTTCTTCTTCTTCCTTTTCTTTTTCCCTTTCTTCTCCTGATTCTTCTTCTTCTTCCTTTTTTTCTTATTATTCTTATTCTTATTCTTCCTTTTCTTCTCCTGCTTCTTATTCTTCTTCCTTTTCTTCTCCTGCTTCTTCTTCTTCCTTTTCTTCTTATTATTCTTATTCTTCCTTTTCTTCTCCTGCTTCTTATTCTTCTTCCTTTTCTTCTTTTTTTTGGGGGGGAGGGGGTAGGGGTTGTGTGTATGTGCTCAAATAATGATCTTAATTTATTACTGTAGGTATTATGTAGATCACGTATAGATATAGATATTGATATACAGATTTAAGAAGATATACGAGTATACGTATGTATGTATATACCAAGATATATTATGTATTTGTTATATATTTTTGTTAAGGATGATAAGGAGAATGATTGCTTCCTGGCGGTTTCTTTATTCATTTCCTTCTTACGGATTAGAAAGTACCGTTAATTAATTTTAATATGTATTCGCCCGTGTCCAGGCTATGCCCGATGTGGTAGCGTTTGTGGGCGTGGAAGACATTAAAGGAGTCAACAATATTATGGCCTTTGCGTGGCCTTTGCCGCAGAAGGTAAGGCAGCCATTTTGTTTTATTGTTGTTTTTGAAAATCTTTGTTTTAATATTCTGAAGGCGTCGTTTGTATTTATCTGTTTAGTTATTATGTCGCCTGTTTCATTTTTTTTACAAATAAGAAGTGTATTTGATTTGCTTTTCGTTGTCATAACTTGTTTCTTATTTATATATTTGTGTTTTCTCGTTTTCTTTCGTGCCCTCTGGACGCTGGGGTAACTTCGCTGAATAAATACATCTCTATCTCTCCCTCCCCCTACCCCAACCCCTATCTTCTACCCCTACCCCTACCCCTACCCCTACCCCTACCCCTACCCCTACCCCTACCCCCTCTCTCTTCCTTCTATATCTCGCTCGTTCTCGCTAATCACTCACGCTCTCACCACCCAGCTCTTCCCCGAGGACCGAGTGTCATACTACGGGCAGCCCATCGGCCTTATAGTCACCAAGAACAGGGGAGCGGCCTACGGTGCTCGCGAGGCTGTCAAAGTCACGTATGACGACATTCAGCCGCCTGTGTTGACCATTGAGGACGCCCTGCAGAAGCCACCTATTAAGGGACCTCCTTACGAACAGGGGGATGTGCAAGGTACATGTGTTGCAAGGGTGTCGTTTTTTCGGAAAGGAGTGGTTGGAGATTTTTTACTCTTCGTTTTGCTTCTTTCTTTCTTTCTTTTTAGGGTTTATTGTGTTTTTTTGTTTTTTTTTGCAATAGGGTCAAGTGTGTTTCACTAATGATTGTAAAAAAAATAGCGATAATTCCTTTAGTTTTCTCTTTTGTAATTTAAGAGTTTCTGTGATGGTTTCAAATACATTTCTTTTTTGTTGTTGTTGGCGATTTTTATAAATATTCCATAGTCGTCAAAAGGCGTTTGGATAGTGAAATAAAATGTCGTAAGATATGCATTTCTCAGGACCTAAACCTCATGCGTTTCTTTTTCCTTCTTTGATCAGCTGGATTCGCTTCCTCGACGCACATCTTCGAAGGGGCCATGAGCCGAGACGGACAGTATCACTTCCACATGGAGTCTCAGGTACGGCCAGGGATAGATTTTTTTTGTTTGTTTGTTTACTAGGTTTTTCTTTTATTCTCATTTTCTTTGATTGACTGGTTGGTGGGTAACTTCACTAGATAAACCGAGTGTATCTGTTTCACTCGTGCTCTTTCTCTTATCTCGGAGAAAAAAGGTAATGTGACCACGGTTATTTAATTCATTCACAATTACATCAGTCCGCTACTGTATAAAAAAAAAATAGTAGTATAGCCGTACGTTGTAGTTAAATCGATTAATGAAATGGATTCACAATGAAAAGAAAGAAGAGGGAAAATCTACATGTTGTTTATTTTATTTATTTATTATTTTCTCAAATACTGCTGCCTGTGTTTCAGATTTTCAGACCTATCACACTTGCAACCGTCACTTGCATATCAAAATTATGCCTCGCTACCTGCTACTACCATCTCCCACTTACATAACTACTTCCTTCCTACTACCACAACCACCTACAGACCTACCACTGATACCACCCTCTTCCCTACCCCACGCAGTCGTGTCTGGTCGTGCCCACTGACATCGGCTTGGACGTTTATGCCTCGACCCAGTGGGCATCGGAAACTCAGCGTGCTATCGGCCAAGTATTGGGCATTCCGGATAACACGTAAGTCGAGAACACAAGAACACTGAGAGATTGATGTTTATACCCTGAGAACACGAGCTTTCCGTGTGATAGATGTGTTAACTCGAGAATCTGGTGAGATATAATGTAGGAGAACAGATGTGATAGAGTGAAGAACATCATAACACAAGAATATGGTAGAGACGATAACAATAAAACACAATAGTACAGATATAGTGACTTGGTATAACATTATAAAACAAAACCGCGGTAGCACATGAAACACAGTAACACAGCAACAGTATCTCAAGAACACATATGAACATAGCACGTGAACGCAATAACAGAAACACATTATGAGATAAACACAAACAGTGACGTGTACACAAAGATGAAAAGGAAAACAGCCAGATATGAAATCATATCGTAACGGTTAATCATTCGTCTGAAGAGGAACTCGTGAGGAGTTCGAAACGTTGCGATATTTTTTTTTTTTTTTTTTTTTTTTCATTTCTTATTGTGGATTTGTTGTTCCTTTTCACATTATCTGATAGACATGATAGCACAAAACAAAAACAATCCAATAATTAAACAACGGAACTTCATGACCTAGCAACACCTCGCCTGACCCAGTCTCTCCCTCCCTCCCCCCCCCCCTCCCTCCTTTCCCCCCCTCCCTCCCCCCCTCTCCAGCATCAACGTAACGGTCAAGCGGCTGGGCGGGGCTTTCGGCGCCAAGATCGACCAGTGCAACATAGTGACGACGGCGGCGGCGGTGGCGGCGCAGAAGGTCCGAAAGCCCGTGCGCGTGGCCCTCGACCTCGACGCCAACATGACCGTGATCGGCTGGAGGGAGCCCTATTTGTGCACTTACAAGGTTGGGTGTTTTTAGCTTTGTTGTTCTTGTTCTTCTTATTATTATTGCTGTTTTATAGTTCTCGTTATTATTATTGCTGTTTTATAGTTCTCGTTATTATTATTGCTGTTTTATGATTATTGCTATTATTATTATAATTGTTGTTTTGTTGTTATCATCATCACCATTCCTGTTATTACCATTATCATTACGGTATTTATTTATTTTTCATTACTACTTATTATTTTGTAGTCATATTGTTATTGTTGTTCTTGTTTTGGCTATTATTATATTATTATTATTATTATTATTATTACTAATGCACAGAGAGCGGATTTTTTTTTTTTATCCGCAAATAAGATTAAGATTAATTTCTCTTCCCGTTTCTAGTGTTTCTCATAATTTGTTTTCTCTTTTTTTTTAGATTTTTTCCCCATTTTGCGTTTCTTTGGATTCATTTTTTTATCCCTTTCCCATACCACTTTTTGCATTTCTTTGAATTTCCATTTTTTTTTTTAATCAATTATCTTTTTTTATCGATTATCATATCCTCCTTTGTTTATTTGTTTGCTTATCCATCTCTTTCATTCCTTCTACAGGTCGGTGTCGACGACTCCGGTGTCCTGCAGGCCATCCAGGCGACGCTGACCTGTGACGCAGGCTACGTGGCAGTGGACACGTCTAGCCCCGCCGCTGTGTACTGCATGACTTCGTGTTACAGCTGCCCTAACTGGGAGGTCACGCCGCAGGTCGTTCTCACTAACACGGCCTGTAATACGTGGTGTCGCACGCCTGGTAGGTCTGCTGGGTGCTGGGTGGGTTGGGTTGGTGGGGGGGGGGGGGGGGGTAAGTGGCTGCCCCCTCCCTCTTAGTGGCGTTTTCTGTTGTGTTTTATTTACTTCGACTTTTTTCATTTCATTCATATATTTTTTGTTCTTTTACGTTTCTTTGTTTCTTGTCTGATTTCTGTTCGTCCTCTTTTTTCTCATCATTATCATCATCGTTATCAACCTCGTCCTCCTCTTCGCCTCTTCCATCACCTCCCCCTGCTCCTCCTCCTCCTCCTCCTCCTCCGCCTCCTCCGCCTCCTCCGCCTCCTCCGCCTCCTCCGCCTCCTCCGCCTCCCATCTTTCTCCAGTTTCTCTTCCACCTCCTGATTCCACCATTTTCTTCTCCTCCTCTTTTATCTGATCCTTTTCCCACTCCCATTCCTCCTCCTCCACCTCCCCCTCATCCTCCCCCTCCCAACTTCACCACTCCATGTCTCCCTCTCCCTTTCCCCCCTCCACCACCAACAACAACTCACTCCTACTGGTCCTTCACCCCCCCCCCCCCGCCTACTCATCCACCTCCACCTCCACCCAACCTCCACCTCCACTTCCACATCTCGCTCCTTCGCCTGCGTGATGCAGTGATAGCGTTCTCATCTTGAAATCTTGCTGACCCGCGCTCGAATCCCGCACTGCCTGTGGATGGTCACCCCGGCCATTCCTTGCACACAGGGGGGGTAATTTAGAAGCAGACTGTCACATCAATCACGAGAATAATTATTATAACAAAGGTAATTAACTAAATTATTATTGTGATTATCACATCTTCCTTCTCCAGGTACGGTTGAGGGCGTGATCTTCATGGAGAATATCCTAGAGCACGTGGCGCAGGGCATGGGCATGGACCCTCTGGAGTTGAGGAAGAAGAACTTGATGCCCGACGGAGGGACGCGCCCGCTCAACCAGGGCATGATTCGCTTCAGGTCACTCGTTGCAGGCAAGGGTAAGTTTTTTGGGGGAATTTCTACTTAAGTCTCCCCTCTTTGTTTTTATTCCGTTTTCTTTTATTTATTTTTTTCTTGCTCGCTTTTCTGATATATTTTTTTTCTTTATAATAGCGTACTGTACAGCTCATGATAATTGTAGTAGTAACAATAATAAATAACAGTATTACAGATAGTGATAATGATAATGATGGTAATAATAGTAATTATAATTTTGACTCAACGGCGTGCAGAAACCTCATAATGTCAGATTAAATAACAAATAAATCACCTTACTGAAAATAACGCACATCACACGCCCAAACACATTCACACATACATACACACATCCTCATTCACATATCCACATGTATATCCATATACACATACATACGTACCCTCCCACACACACACACACACACACACACACACACACACACACACACACACACATACACACACACACACACACACACACACACACACACACACACACGGACCCTCAAACACACACACACACACACGGACCCTCAAACACACACACACACACACACGGACCCTCAAACACACACACACACACACACGGACCCTCAAACACACACACACACACACACACACACACACACACACACACACACACACACACACGGACCCTCAAACACACACACACACACACACACACACACACACACACACACACACACACACACACACACACACACACACACACACCCTCAAACACACACACACACACACACACACACACACACACCCTCAAACACACACACATCCTCAAACACACACACCCTCAAACACACACACACACACACGGACCCTCAAACACACACACACACACACACACACACACACACACACACACACACACACACACACACACACACACACACACCTTTTCAACCCCCTTCCTCCTCATCCTTTCAGAAGCGAAATGGCTCCCCGACAGCCTCCCTGTACCAAGGAACCTCATTTCGGACATGCTGACCCAGATTCTGACCTCAGCTAATGTGGAGGAGCGGAAGCAGATAGTTGCTAATTATAACCAGGTGTGTGGGGGTGGGGGGAATGTGTATGGGAGGAGTGGGGGTGAATGTGTGTTTGTTTGTGTGTGTGTGTGTGTGTGTGTGAGAGAGAGGGTACGTGTGTGAGGGTACGTGTGTGTGTGTGTTTGTGGATGTGTGTGTGTGTGTGCGCATGTTTTTTATTCAATGATTCACAATATTTTATTCAATCCATTGTATTGTAGTTCTCTAAAACAAACAACAAACCCATTTTATAAATTTATGTATATGTTTTTACGGAGATCTCTAGAATGAGGCAAACAACAGAGCCAACCAACAGATCACAGATTTATCGCCGAAAATAAAGAAATATTAATTCTGCCATTTTCCTCTCCCGTAGACCAACCTTTGGAAGAAACGCGGCCTGTCAGTGATGCCTTTGCTGTGGCCTTATGCAGTGGCAATGAAAGTGCCATTCAATGCCATGGTATCTGTCAACGCCCGGGATGGCACTGTGGCTGTCTCCCACGGTGGCACTGAGCTGGGACAGGGCATAAATACGAAGGTGAGGGAATGGTTATTAAATTCTGGCTAAATCGAAAAAAAAATACGAAAAGAAATATAACCAGTGTAGTTTTATGTTATGATACTGTCAAATTCAAGAGATTGTGTTTATAATTATGTATATTTAAGATATCGCAATATTATAAGGGGTAGGATATTTCTCTTAAAATATTCCATATGTATGTAAATATAATCCCCTTAAATTATTTTTTATATTATTTTTAATATTAAATGCAGACATAAGTATATACTATTTAAATGCTAAGAAAAAAGCTATATCATTTTCCATTTTCAAAAATCATGTTTTTTTTCTTCTTCTTTCTTTCTTTCTTTCTTTTACGAAAATGGGGCGTGGTACGAATGACAAAGGAACAGGCCAACTATTCATTTAATTTAACTGCCAATTTTCCTATTTTTCATTTTTATACATTTTTATACATGAATGGTGAAAACACTCTACCGTGTTGATACTATGGTAGAAAAACCCACAATATAAAGCTAGATTTTACGTTGTGGGTTTTTCTACCATTTTTCCACATATTTCAGTATCCACTCCATTAAGTGCATTGGTTTACCCTAAACTACGACCTATCCTCGGTGTTCAAGGAAAATTCCTATGCTTTTATCCTACAGTCCTCTTACCTCATCCTTATCCTCATCCTCATCCTCATCCTCATCCTCATCCTCATCCTCATCTCCATCCCCCGCATAACGCCTTAGTCATTCCACCGCCAGTCTTCAGTAATTCCTCATTCATTCTAGGCATTCTTTAGTCAATCCTGTTATTCCTCGGTCGTTCCTCAGTCGTTCCACACTCACTCCACACTCACTCCTCACCAATGCCACACCCATTCCACACACACTCACCACTTCCACACCTACCCCTCACTCACACCCCACCGTCATTCCTCACCCGTGGCTTCTCCCCCCAGGCTGCCCAGTGCGCTGCGTACGAGCTGGGTGTCCCCCTTGACATGATCGCTGTGAGGCCTCCGAACACCCACGTCAATGCCAACTCGGAGGTCACAGGAGGTTCTCAGGGTTCGGATGTGGCTTCCTATGTAAGCACGATTGGAGAATGTACCCGATACGCACATACACATGTATACATACGTCGGTACATACATGCATGCGTCAATACGGACATACATATCAATACACATACATGCTTTAATACATACATACATACACATACAGACATAGACATCAATACATGCATACATGCTTTGATACATACAGACATACACATACAGACATAGACATCAATACATGCATACATGCTTTGATACATACATACATACACATACAGACATAGACATCAATACATACAAATATATACTTCATTACATGCATGTACATACATACAGTGATATGTACATACACATACATATATACATACATGAGATACATACGTACATACACGGCACAACACGAAAGGATAATGCACACAAGTCTAACGTATTTGGAGATTAAGTGGTTTAGGAAGATAAAGTCATCGTGTAATTGTGATATACAATATATAATTTTGTATTTATAGATAGATAGATGAATGGAGAGATAGAGGTAGAAAGATAGATAGAGAGGAGAGAGGGAGAGAGAGAGAGAGAGAGAGAGTTACATTAATATTTACGCAGAGAGATAGATAGTGGGAGACAGAAATAAACTGATACAGACACACACCGTACATACAGTATATAATTAGCATTTTTGTTATCTTCAGAGCGTAACTCAGGCATGCAAGAGGCTGCGCGCTCGCCTGGACGCGTTCAAGGAGGAGAACGGACTCTTCGACAAGTCCTGGCCTGAGCTCGTGCTGGCTGCGTTCAACAAGGGCGTCGATATTTGCGAGAGATATGTGTATGTATTTTTGTTTTGTTTTTTCTTTTTTGTTTGTTTTTTTCTTCTTTGTTTTAAGTCAGTGTGACGGGTAAAGGTAAATCGGGTATGTTAATACTTGTTTTCGTCCATGATTGATGCGTGCTAGATTATTTTTGAGGATAGGACAGGATAGTACATAGGTAAAGCTCGTCCAATTCACTCATAGCACCGAAATTGATATTAAAAACTACACATTTCACACATACTTACGTAAAATAACGCAACATCAATGTACGCTTTCTTCTCGTTGTGAACGTCAATAATGTACGGTTTCTCGTAAACGCCAATAATTTACGTTTTCTTTTCGTTGTGAACGCCAATAATTTACGTTTTCTACTCGTGAACGCAGGAACGGATGGGACGAAGTGAAGGCGTATCCAGTGTTTGGCGTCGCCTGTACTGAGGTGGAGCTGGACGTCCTGACTGGGCAGTTCCTCGTAAGCGGTTTTTGGATACATGTGTTTTTATTGATACCGTGTGATCTTATTTTTTATTGTTATTATAACATGATAATAATGATAATCATAATCATAATCATAATTATGATGATGTGGTGTAGTGAAGTAAATTAACGTGTTTTATCCCTCCCTCCCTCCCACTCATTCTCACTTTCTCATTCTCTCTCTCTTCTGTCTTCCTCCTTTTCTCTCCCACTCTCTATCCCTCTCACTCTCCTTTCGTCTCTCTCTCTCTCTCTCTCTCTCTCTCTCTCTCTCTCTCTCTCTCTCTCTCTCTCTCTCTCTCTCTCTCTCTCTCTCTCTCTCTCTCTCTCTCTCTCTCTTCACCCCCCTCCCGTTATCCCTTTTTCCCACTCCCACCCCCTTCCCTTCCCCTTCCCTTCCCTTCCTTTCTCCCACACCCCCTCCCTTCCCTTCCCCCTCACCCCTTCTCTTCCCTTCCCTTCCCCCTCACCCCTCCCCTTCCCTTCCCTTCCCCCTCACCCCTCCCTTCCCTCCCCTTCCCTTCCCTCTCTCCCACCCTCTCCCTTCCCCACCCCTTCCCTTCCCCTTCCCCTTCCCCTTCCCCTTCCCCTTCCCCTTCCCCTTCCCCACCCCTTTTCCCTCCGCACCCAGGTCCTGCGCACCGACATCCTGGAGGACGCCGGCAAGAGCATGAGCCCGATAGTCGACGTCGGGCAGGTGGAGGGGGCGTACGTGATGGGCCAGGGGCTCTTCACCATCGAGAAGCCCCTGTACGACCATGACACCGGCAGGAGGCTCACCGACGGGACCTGGGTGAGTGCCAGAGTTGGGTGTGGGGGGGAGGAGGAGAAGGGGTGGGTGTGGGGGGGTGATGTGATGTGTGGGGAGAGGGAAGGGGAAGGGGGAAGGTAATGACGGAGACATGGGTGAGTTGCAGAGTTGGGGGGGGAGGGGGAAGGTAATGACGGGGACCTGGGTGTAGTTCCAGAGAAAGGGTGGATGATGTGTGGGGGGGGAGGGAGAAGGGGTGGATGAGGAGGAGATGTGGATGAGATAAAGAGGCAGTGGATGATGGAGAAGAAAGGAGAGGGAGGAAGAGAGAGGGATGGATGAAGGTGATGGGGGGGGGAGAAAGTTTTTGAAAGATCGAGTTATTATTTTTTCCTCGTTTTAGAAGAAGTACTAAAAAATTAAATGGTTTTTAAAATCAGAATTTGTAGGCCCGCATTCTGAAACCTTGGTGCTTATTTCATTCTAATGTTTGTTTTTTATCTTTGTTATTTATTTTATTTATTTTTAACAATTTTCCTATGCGTTTTTTGTTGATTTCTGTGTGTGTGTGTGTGTTTGTGTGTGTGTATGTGTGTTTGTGTAAGTGTGTGTGTTTTAGTACACATTGGACCTTAAACCATCGTTTTACCTTCTCAAACAGTTTACGAAAAAAAAAATTAATAATAATACCTTCTCTATTCTTTCCTTCCTTCCTTCCTTCATTTCTTCCTTTCTATGTTCTCCCATCCTTCCTATTTTCTCCCATTTATCATCCTTCTTTTCGTCTCCCCTTCCACAGTATTACACCCCGCCCGCCGCCCTCGACATCCCCGTTGACTTCCGCGTTTCCCTGCTCCATGACGCCCCTAATCCTGTGGGCGTGCAGTCATCCAAGGGTAAGATTTTTTCAAAGATTGAGAATGATGAAATGATGATAAAAAATAATTGATGATGAATAGGATGAAATATGGTGACGAGGAAGGTGATGATGAGGATAATGATGATTAGGTTTATAATTATAATAACGGCTGTAATGTATAATTAATATGATGATGGTGATATTGATTATGATGATAATGATAGAATATAGTAAAAATGGTAATGATAGGAATGATGATAATGATAACAATGACTTCGATGTCATCAAAAATTTTGCTGTGATAGTCGTGGAAGAAAAAAACGAAAACAAAAATCCACAACATAAAAAAGCCTCTGCATGTATTTAAAAATGATAGAAGATAAAAGAGAGATCTTAGGCATAATTAGATAAATAGAAACGTAAAGGAGAGGAATACGAGAGGTTTAAACAAAAACAAAATCGATTTAAAATGTTGATGTTATGTTTGTTTGTTTTTTTCAGTGACTGGAGAACCCCCTCTGTGCTTGGCCTTCACAGTAGTCATGGCACTGAGGCAGGCAGTGGCAAGTGCCAGAGGAGATGCTGGTGTAACCGACTGGTTCCAGATGGGTATGTTTGTGTTCGTCTGTCTGTTTGTTTGGAGAGAGAGAGAGAGAGAGAGAGAGAGAGAGAGAGAGAGAGAGAGAGAAAGTGTGTGTGTCTGTGTTTGAGAGAGATAGAGAAAAAAAAAGATTCAAAATAATGATTGTTTAGTATGACGGATGGTGTTATCAATCTACAGCCTGTACATGCGATACTTGTGTTTACTAGATTATCATTATAATCTAATCAGTATGTATGACGAAATTGTAACATTATATAACCATTACTTTACATTATTCATTTTATCAAGTATTCAGCCATGGTAACAGGACACAAAATACCATCTGTACTATAGTATCTGTTATTATTTGGGTGATAATAATGATGATAATGATAATAATAATGGTGACAATGATAATAATAGTAATGGTAATAATGTTATGGTGGTTATCTTTATTAGTATTAGTATTATTGTTAACAATAACATTGATAATGATGGTGACAATTGTAGCAATTATAAAAATCCTGACAGTGATAGTAATGATGATAATGATAATGAATATAGATGTAAGGACGACCTTTTGTAACTGCTGCCTTTCCCTTTCCAGACACGCCACTGACTGTTGACAATTTGCAACGCCTTTGTCTCGTGGATTCTAGCCGCCTCACCATCAAATAATTTCCCTAAGTCCCCAATGAAGAATTAACTGTGAATTGAATTGTAAAAGAAAATAGTTAGAACTGCGTATTCTTGTTGATTTCATGATTTGCTGTTGGACGACGTGTGTGCAGTTTTAGAAATATACCTTTGTCATGGCTTTGTATAATGACCTAGATGGATTATTTTCTGCTGCATTGTTATATTCCAGGAGTCAGAGAGATACCTGCATTGTGGTTATTATTATTTTTTTTTTTATCCATAGCATACGTTCCTCTGCAGGATTTTGCGTGGGATAGCGATGCTCATTTGTTTTTGTTATGTATTTTATTAATGCAGTTTTCAGTTCTTTGCTGTTGATTTTTGTGTCTAGTCTGTTACTTTGTTGTTGCATATGAATATATTTATATACTGGCCCTCGTGTAGGTGAATGCAGATGATTTTTTGTATTGATTCGAATGGACTTGGAAAAAAAACTCATGATGGTGATTCGAGCAGAAGATATATAATTCCATATTTCCAGATACTGTTATCATTTGATCTATTTGAAATACGAATTTCTTTTAGACTTGAGTAATAATTATGTACCGATCTAATAAAGTTATTTATGCGACATGAGATGACTTATTATTTCCCTTCATGGAAACAAACGGCCTATTGACAAGAATTTTCTTTTTTTGACATTATACCTTTAGATTACTCTTGTGATTGCATATACCAAACCAACCAAGTGTAAGGGAACGTACTTGTATAATTATTTCAAAGAATTATTTGTTTTTAATATTAGTATGGCTTTGCTTAAAGTGCAGTTATATATTAAGAGATATACTTAGTGCAAGGGGC